CGGCTGGTCTGGAATCCAGGATGGAGGGGCCCACTGTGGGCAGCTGCTCCCTGGGTCTGAAGCCACCTCCTTCAGCCACACAGGCCTCGGCCCTCCCTGTGTTCTCCCCCCCACCCCCCCCAGCTCATCCACTTTTCTGTGTGCATCAGGACCTGAGTAAGGTTGGTCAGCTCCATGCAGGTCACCGTGGAGTCTGTGAGAGGTGGCCACTTTCTCCCGGGGTGATCAGGGCAGGTGGTGGCCCTCTCTCAACCCCAGAGGCTCCCAGGACAGGGCAGGGGTGCAGCCGGGCTGGGCCTGGTCCCTCTGTTCTTGGTGGGGAGTGAGGTGGAGGTGCTCAGGCCAGGGCTTGGCCCAGGAGGAGAGCAGGAAAAGGGAGCAGGCAGGGGTCCCCATGGCTGACCCCAGCTGGGGGCGGTTCCCTGCCTGTCTGGCCCAGCCCCTCTGGCCACAGGGGGGCTTCATGCCATTTCCAGCCAGCGTCCAAGGCAGGTGGACCCAAGCTGCATCCAAACATCCTCTTCCTTGTCTGGAACCCAGAGGAGCTAAAAATGCTTCTTCTCCAAATGCAAACAAACACCGCCCTTCCCCGTCTTTGTGCTCGGTACACAGGCCCAGGGCCACGGAGGCAGGTGGCAGGCTCGAAGGCCCGGCCGGGCTTGGTCTGTCTGTCTGCCTTCCTGAGGGTCTCCTTGCTGGCTTCCCTGGTTCTCACGGGCCCTTGCAGTGGCCAGAACCTCACTGGGTTGGTGGGGGGGGGGGGGTCACCCACAGGAATGGGACCCACTCCTTCCCCCAGTTGAAATACTCCTTCGGTCCCAGCAGGGGCCCTTCCCCCAAGGCCTGATTCTGAGTTCAGACAGAGAGCGGGCAGCTTGGGGCAGAAATGACGACCACCCTAAGACACTGGGCTTGTGGGGCACCCGCTCTGGATGGATGAACTTATTTAAGCCCCACGAGGCGGCTGCTACTGCTGCCCAGTCTACAGATAAGAAAATGGAGGCTCAGGAAGGCTATGGAACCTGCCTGAGGCTGGACAGTTCGTAAACTCAGTGGGGCTCAGAACCCAGGCCGTCGATCGCTGGCAGGGAGTCTCACCCTCGCTGAGCCTCAAGTTTCCTCCCCGGTCGGAGCACAGAGCCCCTCTCTCCTGACTGAGCATGTCATTGGCCCCCGGCTGGACTTGATGCAGCCCACCTTCTTGGCCTTCCCTTACCCTTCCGGGGCCCTGACCTGCTTCCAGGCCATGCAAAATGCTATCCCAGATGAGGGCCCCAGTCTAAGACACGCCCAGCCTTGGGCAGACCCCACTGCAGCCCCAGGTCCCACAGTTCAGGTCACCCAGTTTTCTCCCTGGCCCAGGCCTGCTGAGGGGGTGGATTATGAATATGGTTCCCTGACCCCCACCCCGGCCAGGTCTGGCCCCAAAGCAGAAGGTGGGCTCAAGCCATTCTGGTTCTGACCCTCCTAGACTCTCAGAGGGAGAACAGGTAATAGGAGGAAAGGGGGCCTTGGAATCTACAAATCCCTCCTACAGACAGTTACTGACCAGGGCTGGTGATCAGGCTGACTGGCTCAGTGCTGGGGATCAGTATCTCCATGGGCCTGACCACAGGACAGCTCTGTGCTGGGGCACCCCCTCAAGCCCGGGGGGTGGGGGGGGACTTCCTGGAGGAGGCACTGAACAGGAGAAAATGGTGAACGTGTTCTTCAGAGAATTGCTTGCGAGGACAGAATCCCCTATGGTGTCGGCATGGAACAGGGGCTAGAAGAGGGTTCCCCTTATCAGGATACTCAAGGCCCAGGCATCTGTGCCCTTTTGGGTCCCAGCCCTGCCACCGCTGATCCTCACACTGACACATGGATTCAGTCACCTGAGTCAGCTCACCCAAGAGGCTGGGAAGTCACTGGGCCATGGGAGATGGGACTGTGCCTCTTTGCTCAGTCCATTGCCCACGTTCCTGGGCTGCCCACAACAGGGACCCAATGGTGCCACTCCACAGAGCCTATCCCGCTCCCCCAAGTCCATCGTGGGGGCCGAGCCCGCACACCCTCTTTCCTTGGCACACGTGCCATTGCTCCTACCGGGGGCACATAGGAGAGCATTCCATGCTCACACGAGCCTTATGCCAACACTGTCACTGTCTTCACCATCCTCATCAACGTCATCTGCTGGGAGACAGCAGCGCAGCGGGGAGCTTCCTGTGTGTGGGCTCTGCCACTGGCCTGCCGCAGGTCCAGTCCAGCCTCCACCATGGGCTGGCTGTGTGACCTTGAGCAGGGAGCTTAACCTCTGGACTCCAAAGTTCCCTCTGTGCTTTGGGCTAGGAGCAATACTGCTCTAAGGACACAGAGAGCAGTGCTTATACCAAGTGGTGAGCGTTCAACAGCAAGGCGGAGCTGTTAGCCTCCTTCTGGCACAGGGCAGAGAAGGTCAAAGTCAAGGTCAAGGCCACCCCTGAGCAGGGTTTTCTCTGAGAATCTTTACCCTTCAAATCTGGTATTTGGGGATTATCGCCTCTCATTACCACCTCCCCTCCCCACATCTCCCATCCCCTGTTCCTCCTAATTGGTCTGCTGAACCAACCACCAGTGCTGGCTGGTGGGGCTCCTCCAGGGCAGGCCAGGGACTCCTCACCTATTCTAGGGCAATGCCTGGCCACTGGCACACCCCAGGAGGCTGTGCTGCAGCAGGACTGTCTTCTAGGCCTTATTTTGGCAAAGCCTCTAGTTCCTTCTATGAGGTAGGTACCAATACTCTGAGGCAGACTCAACGGCCCTGCCGTCTGTTTGAATCTCTGTGCGCGCACACACACACACACACACACACCCAGGACCCCCTCACCATCATGGAGATGACAAACCTCATTATCGCCCCCAAAGCCTTCCTGGGCTTCTTTGAAATCTCAACTGCTGATAGATGGCTCCCCAGTTTACAGAGAGGAAGACCGAGGCCCAGAGAAGTCAGTAACTTTCCAGGGTGTGAACCAAGGTGATCTGCCTCCAGCCTCCCTCTTAGCCACTGTGCTAAGCTGCCTCGACACTTATGGAGGAGGGGGCTTCCTGGGTACAGAGGGCAGACCAAATGAGACAGTGGTTTCTGGATGCCAGATGGCCAGGCGACATGGTGAGCCTGTGGGTCCCGTGGTGGGTGCTGGGCGTGGGTGTGACGCCGTGACTGTGACAGTGTGACTGCTTCAGGCAGGGACATAGCAGCTCCTGGAGCTGAGGGTGGGAGGCGTTAACTGTGCCAGTGCTATGCTGGGTTGGGCCTTGAACAGGGAGCCAGGGAGCTAGTAAACACCAGCGTGCAGGGTGGTGGGGTGGGAGGGTGGACTTTGCAGTCCAACAAATTCAAATTCAGCGAATGCAGCAGAGTCTGTGCCAGGCCCCCAGCCGGGAGGAAGAGGCAGGGTCCAGCCTTCAGCTTTCCTGTCAGGGTTGCAAGGCTGGCTGCGGCTCATCTTGGGGCTGGTGGCTGGATCCGAGGGATGCTTGATGCCCATCATGGCATTTAGTCCTCAGTAGGAGGCGGCATGGAGGCAACGGGGAGGGAAGTGACTTGCCCAAGGTGACCCAGCTACTCCTCACCACAGCAGGATCTGTACCCAAGCTGTCGGGAGCCCAGGAGTCCTCCCATCACACTAGTGCAGGGTGCGGATGTCTGGTCCCGGAGCCGCGGAGCTGGAGGGGAGTGCTCGGCCCCTCCCCGCCCCCCCCCACCGGTGGCCCTGGAGACTCTCCCCACCCCACTAACCACGTGGTTTCCAACCTAGCCCACGAATGGTCACTGCGTTCAACAGCTGGCCGCTACTGGCTCTCCATTTCGGGAGCCAGATCCTTGGGCAGAGGGCTGCCAGGTTCCAGGAGACCCCTAGGGCCCCACCACACCCCAAGCCCTCCCTGCGCTCAAGCTCCGCTCCCCTCCCTCCCGGCGCTGACTCCAGGCCAGGAGAGGAAAGGCTGTCTCCACCCACCTCTCGCTCTCCGTCTCCTTTATAAAGGCCGGAACAGCTGAAAGGGTGGCAACTTCTCCTCCTGCCGCCGGGAGCGGCCGCCTGCCTCCCCGAGCGCCCGCCGCCTTCCCCGCCGCCTCCCCGAGGGCTCTACTCCGGCCGCCAGCGCCCATCGTTCATTCCCGTGATACAGATATTTGGCGCACACACACACACAGACGCGCAAAAGAGGAAAAAGGGAAAAGAAAAAAATCCACCCTCCAGCGTCACTGCAAAGAGAAAACCGGAACCGCCGCAGCTCGCAGTCCGCAGAGGACGCCCAGAGCAGCGGGCTGACCGACGGACCCGCGCCGCGTCCACCTGTCGGCCGGGCCGGGACGAGCGCGCACGCCGCGCGCGCGGAGCAGCCGTGCCCGCCGCCCGGGCCCCGCGCCAGGGCGCACACGCTCCGGCCCCCCCAGCCGGCCGGGGCGGGAGTTTGCACCTCTCCCAGCCCGGGTGCTCGGCCCGCCGCTGCAAAGCCAACTTTGGAAAAAGTTTTGGGGAGGAAGCCTGGGCGTTGAGGAGCCCAGCCCTGCGCCGTCCGATTTGGGGGACCATCCCAGAAAATGTGGCAAAAAAGCTAAGCCGCCGGGCAGAGGAAAACGCCTTTAAGCGGCGAGTGAAGACCAACCATCGGCTGCCGCGTTCCTTTTCCTCCAGGAGGTTGGAGTTCCCTGGGCGCCCCCACACGGCTAGACGCCTCGGCTGGTTCGCGACGCAGCCCCCCGGCCGTGGATGCTCGCTCGGGTTCGGGCTCCGCACAGGTAGCGGCCACGGACCCTGGTCCTGCGCCCAGGCCCTCCCTAGCCCCCCAACAACGGAGCCCGGGCCGGGGGCGGCGGCGCCCCGGGGCCATGCGGGTGAGCCGCGGCGGCGGCTGCAGCGGCCTGAGCTCCTGATCGCCGCGGACCCGCGCCGAGCCCACCTCCCTCCCCAGCCCCCGCCCCCCGCCCTGGCCGCGGGGGCGGCGCGCTCGGTCCACGCGTCCGGGGCCCCGCGGGGCCGGGCCCGGAGTCGGCATGAATTGCTGCTGGGCGCTCTTCCTGTTTCTCTGCTGCTACCTGCGTCTGGGTCTGGTCAGCACCGAGGTGAGTTGAGACGGCAGCGGGGGCCAGGCCACTCCATTCATCCCCCCACCCCCAACCCGACGCCCCCTCCTTTTCCCGCAGTGAACTTTGAATCCTGGCCGCCTGAGGGTCTGGCACCAGGGCGCTGGGGGCCGCCGAGGGCTGGGACGACAGGCTCCTCGGGGAGGGGGCATAGTACGGCTGTCTTTCTCAGGGGGTCATTCCAGATCCCCCTCCAAACTGAGGAGGGTGTGTGTGGCCCTGCCCCCACCCCTCAGTCGCCCCAGAATAAGCCTCCCTGAGGGGGAGGGGTGGGGTGGTGCCGCGAGCGCAGTAGACAGCGCAACCCTCCCACCCCCTGCAGCCCACTGGGCTTGGGCTTGGGTGCATGACCTGCCCCGGGGACCAGGGCTGCCCAGGAAGTGGGGGCTCGCCCACCACGCTGACCTTCGGTGGGGGTTTGAATCCCACCCCAGCTCCCGCTCCCGGCTCGGGTGGGTGCCCTCGGGTGCGCAGGGCATGGTCAGCCCCGGAGAGCCATCCTGGAGCAGCGCGTGTCAGGGGCGCG